CCAGCCGCGAGCCGCGAGCCGCGGAGGCGGAGCTGGGCGTCGCCGGCAAGTCGTAAGTCGGGCATGCACCCCTACAGGAGGAATGTGCAAGAAAAGTAGCAGAACAGTCTAGTGACGATGTGTCCTGCTCTGTTGGCAATGCTTGTTTTCGTTGGAGTGCCTATGTCTCATGCTTCCTCCAAAACCCGCCTGTCGGAGGACATGCCCGACCTAACTCCACGAGCTCGGCTTCGGAGGCCGCCTCCTGGCCTCGAGGGGCCTCGCTGTCCGAAGAGTTCGGCGAAGGGGTTTGGTGAGCAGGCGCTCCAGCGTCCCACAGGCGGGGCAGCTGGGGCGGCCTGTACCCCGAGCTGTCACGGCGTGGTGCATACACCCCGCGGCCCAGGGCAGTCCAAGCGGCTCGGCTCGAGAACAGCTCGGTGAGGGGGGGGGGGGGAGCACAAGGCCCCGGGGGGGGGGGCTCCACAAGCCTCGGGGAGGGGGCCCACAACCCCTGGGGGTGGCCCCCCCAGGAGAAGCGGTGGAGATCCCCGTGGGTGCCGCGCCGCGAAAAGGGATGCGTCGTCGGAGGAGGCGGCGGAGGGGGAGGGGCTGGGGGCAGCTGTGCTGCGGGGCCCCCCAGAAGGGCCCCTCGGCTTCGGCGGTCCTCGCGGGAGGGAGGCCGTTGGCACGATGATGCCAGGGGCGCCAGGGGCACCAGCGCCCCCCCCGCCGGTGGCTGGCCTTAGGTCGGGCCTGTCCCCCTACAAGGGAGTTTCGGACGAAAATGAGAATTCACAACAACAAGAAACAAAAAAGACGTCCCGAGACTTATGCTGTTCCAACCTTCTTTAGCCTTGATCGCCAAAAAGAATTTCGAGCACCAGAAAACGTACCGAAACTCTAGGGCTTTCGCGTGTCTGGCCCTGGGAGACACTCGTCCGACACTTATTTCGACATTATTTCGAAACTCTTTCGACACTTTTCTGGGTGCTCGAAATTATTTTTGGGATGTGGTCCTGAAGTGCATAGTACGATGGGAGCAACATAACCCAATCTTATGTTTTGACTATTGTTTGCTATTCCTCCTGCAGAGGGACAGGCCCGACGTAGGGCTGGCCAGGGACGTGCGAGGGGTCTGCCTGGACCTTCGGCGCCGTGGTTTCTTCGCAACGTCGGCGGCACTGTAACGGGTATTCGCTAACGGGTATTTTGGAAAGGCGCCGACAGTTGCTATTTTAGGGTCTTTCCAGCAGTGCAGCGCTGCCCGCATCGGGGAGGATTGGGTTCGCCGGGTCACTGGCCCAAGGACCCGTCAGTGGAGTCCCTGTTAGATGGGCGCTGACAACGTGGGCTCTCAGAGGTTCAGTCCACTTCTCTGGGGCCCCTCTCTAAATTCCGAGTCGCTCTCGGTCCCAGGCTTGGTAGGTGGGGTCCGAGCAGAGGGGGGCGGAGGATCACGCCGCATCGCCGATGCATTGCCGATGCTGCTTGATGGGAAGCCCCATTTCCTCCACGCCGACGACGCCGATGCACGCCGGTACATCGCCGATGCATCGCCGATGCATCGCCGATATGCCGGCGATGCGGCGCGATCCTCCGACCCCATCTGCTCGGACCCCACCCAGGATGCCTCTCCATCGACGGCCCCAGGGCGGCGGGAAGGGCCCCCGTGAGCCTGAAAGCACGTCGCCACAGACACCCTCGTCGTGCCTGTCTCTTTCCCGCGCTCGGCGCGAGGAGGCAGAGGTCCAGGGAGGGGAGGAGGGAGGAGGGAGGAGGAGGAGGAGGAGGAGGAGGAGGAGGAGGAGGAGGAGGAGGAGGAGGCAGGAGGAGGGGAGGAGGAGGAGGAGGGGAGGGAGTCAGGTCTCAGGCGAGGCCCCCCTCGCCCCGGCGCTCCCCCCCGCGGGGGGGCCCCCGCCCCGGGCCCTTCCGGCCCCGCGGGCTGCCCCCCCCACGGGCGCCGCGATGGTGGGCGGCGAGCGCCGGGCTCAGCGGCCCCCGAGCCGCGCCACCGCCCGGCCGCAGGGGCGCCCTCGTCGGGGCGCGCAGCGGCACGCCCGGGAGCCTCGTCAAGGCTCCCGAGCGTGCCGCTCGGGAGGAGGAGGAGGAGGAGGAGGAGGTAGGAGGAGAGGGAGGAGATGAGGATAGCACACGCACCCAACGAGCAGGCGTGTCTTCGTTAGAGGAGGATTAGGAGGCGTCTTCGATCATTAGTGTGCTTATACTTCTAATAGTCTTCGTCGTCTTTAGTATGTCGTTCATTCAGTCATTCGTTACTTACTTATGTATTCTGCTTATTAAGTGGGCTTATTGCTTCTATGAGGAGGAGCAAGAGACGGGGGTCGATGCAAGCGGGGGTCAGCCAGAGCGCCGGATCTTGCAGGATGCTGCAGGGCCAGGGTCGCATTGACCCGGGCTTGGGTGCAGGGGCCTGCCAGATCCTTCGCATTGACCCGGGCTTGGGTACAGGATGTTGCAGGATTCTGCAAGGCCTGACTGACCTGGGTCTTGATTGACCCGGGTCAGCAGATCCCCGACACGCTCGCGCATGAGGGGCACTCGGGCGCACCCATGCGTCCGTCGCCTTGTCGCAGGACTCTCGGAGGTTGACGGACTCCAGACCTGCCCTTACACGTCGATGAGCGAATGGGCCGTGTTTCGGTTCGCGAGAGGGCGTCGCGGCCGTCACTTTTGCGGGTCCAGGTCCGTCTGTTTCGGTCCTAGGCCGTTTTCACTCAAGGGTGGTTTACTAAAGGGAGGTTCGTCCACCGCCGAAACTCAAGACGGTGGTTTCCCCTGTGGTCGGCCCCCGTGGGGCACCCCGGGACCATGAAAAACAACGACTCAGGAGAAGACGCGGGCCGCGGGGACAGGCTCGGCCCCGCCTGCGCAACATTTACAGGGCATCGGGTGTCTGGGCAGGAGCACTGCTCGTCTCGCGAGGGTGCCGGCGAGTTCCACGCTTCAGCCGAGAGCGGAGGCAGACGGGGGCTGCCACGTGGCCGCCCCGGCGGGTGGCGATGGGGCTCACGCTGCGCGCGTCGCGCGGTCCGTGCGTGGTGCGGGCGCCTGCTTGCGACTGTTCAGCCACGCGCAGAGGGGGGAGCAAGCCCTGTTGCTTAGAAGGCGCGGGCTCTCTCTGTACATGTACGGCCCGATGCCTTCTAAGACGCCTTCGCCCCTCCCCTTCATCCCCGTGTGCGCGCCGCCAAAGTATGGGTTCGATTCTGCGGCCTGCAGGCAGACTCTCCGAGGGCCCGCTGGGCGTGTGGGCTCGTGCGTCGGCGCACCTACGATCTGCGGCCCCGCGCGGCGGCCGGCCCGGTGGGGTCGACAGGGGGCTGATCAGGAGGGAAAGAAACACACAGACACAATGAATCGTCGATTCCTTAGAAGAGATCGGAAAATATGGGAAGTGGGGGGGAAGACAGAAACCCAGAAGATATATGAAAATACGGGGAATCCTTTTCTTTGTGTGTATTTATTTGTGTGCCTCCGGGCCCCTTCGGCTGAGGCGGCTGAAAGGATACTTGGGCCGCATGGGGCTGGAGCCCGTGGACATCCCGCGGGTCCTCATGTCTTGGGTCGCGGCCAAGTACGTCACCTGCGGCGCCTGTCTGGTGCTCGGCGCCAGGTACAGGCCGCTGCAGCGCTGCTTTGCCAGGAGCATCACAGGGCATTCGGGGCGCCCAGGTGAGGATGAGCAACAGCAGCGGTGCCGTCAGCAGCAGCAGCAGCATTGGGACGAGGAAGACGACAATATGGACGAGGAGTAGGATGAAGATGAGAGAAAACCCTGCCAGTGCACATATCATCTGTACGTTGGAGGAGGTGTCTGCTTGAGGGCGTGGAGAGAAAGGGCAAAGGGCTATCGTGTGGTCCCGCCTGGGCTCAAGCCAGCAGCGGGAGAAGCTTCACCTCTCCTCCCCCTCTGCTCTGCCCCTTCTCCCCCTCGCCGACCCTTCTCGCAGCCATCCCTGTGCCACTCTGAAGCCTCCTGGGCGCTCTTAGAGCCATCTTGGGGCAACTACAGCAATCTTGGGCCCTTTGCGACACCGGCACCCCCAACAGTGGAAATGCCACGAGGCCTGATGGCACTCCCTGGCGCCCAGCGGCAGCAATGGCGCAAGACGCGTCCCAGGGCTAAATGTCTGTCTGCTCATCGCATGCTTGTCATTCTACGATCAGGAACGTTGGCTTAGCGAGTCGCTCTGCTGGTTCTGGCTCACATCGCTTCGTCGCGACACGCTATCCACGTGCCCACCCGAGCCTTCCCCGGCCTCCCGCCCCCGCGGTTTGGAGCGACACGCTATCGGTTTGCAGGGCAAAGCAGGCCGCCAGGGCCGCCACCGCGATACGCTAGGTGAAAACTTCTGACCGCGACTCGGTCTGTCAATGAATCTGTGAGTAATTCCCCAATCAGTGCTTGCACTGAGGGGGTCATCGCGGAAATTGAAAGATTTGGCGAAAGTGTCCCGCCGACTTTGGTGGCCGGCTGGGTTCCCGGGTTCTTGGTTCCGGGTTCCCGGGTTCCTGGTAGTTGGTTCCGGGCCGATTTCGGTGGGTTCCGGGTTCTTGGGTTCTTGGTCGATCTTTTTATACCGATCAAACCATCCACCCATTGAGTTTTTTTCTCTGGTGTGATTGATCGTCACCTCCACGGAGCTGGACTGGGACGCTCGCTGCGCAGTCGTACCCCCCCCCCTGCCCTCAGACATCTGACGATGTATGTTCTCGCGGCGCTCTTCTTCGCGGCGTGGCCTCCTGGTAGGGGACCACTCCTCCTCCTCAACCTCCTCCTCCTCCTCCTCCTCCTCCTCCTCCTCCTCCTCCTCCTCCTGGGGTCCCCTGGCTGACAGCTGAGCGCAGACGTCCGACGACGCGATGCTCTCACAAAGGGAGGCCCCAGGTCGAGGTCCCGGCCCTTTTTCCCCCGGGGATTGCCCTTCGTTCCAGAGCACTGTTTGGCAGGAGGGAAAATTATCCCAGTGCCCAGTGCGACCCTACCTAGGAGTTGGAGCTCCTAGGAAAGCAGCATTAGTAGTATCAGTAAAGCTAAGCTAAAGCTAAGCTAAAGCTAAGCTAAAGCTAAGCTAAGGCTAAGCTAACACTGAGCTAAAGCTAAGCTGAAGCTAAGCTGAAGCTAAGCTGAAGCTAAGCTAAAGCTAAGCTAAAGCTAAAGCTAAGCTGAAGCGAAGCTAAAGCTAAGCTAACACTAAGCTGAAGCTAAGCTAAAGCTAAGCTAAAGCTAAGCTAACACTAAGCTGAAGCTAAGCTAAAGCTAAGCTAAAGCTAAGCTAAAGCTAAGCTAAAGCTAAGCTAAGGCTAAGCTAGCACTAAGCTAAAGCTAAGCTAAAGCTAAGCTGAAGCTAAGCTGAAGCTAAGCTGAAGCTAAGCTGAAGCTAAGCTAAATCTAAGCGAAAGCTAAGCTAAAGCTAAGCTAAAGCTAAGCTAAAGCTAAGCTAAAGCTAAGCTGAAGCTAAGCTGGAGCTAAGCTAAAGCTAAGCTAAAGCTAAAGCTAAAGCTAAATATAAGCTAACGCTAAGCTAAAGCTAAGCTAAAGTTGAGCTAAAGCTAAGCTGAAGCTAAGCGAAAGATAAGCTAAAGCTAAGCTAAGGCTGAGCTAAAGCTAAGCTAAAGCTAAGCTAAATCTAAGCTGAAGCTAAGCTGAAGCTAAGCTGAAGCTAAGCGAAAGCTAAGCTAAAGCTAAGCTAAAGCTAAGCTAAAGCTAAGCTATATCTAAACTAAAGCTAAGCTGAAGCTAAGCTAAAGCTAAGCTAAAGCTAAGCTAAAGCTAAGCTAACACTAAGCTAAAGCTAAGCTAACTTTAAGCTGAAGCTAAGCTAAAGCTAAGCTAAAGCTAAGCTAACGCTAAGCTGAAGCTAAGCTAAAGCTAAGCTGAAGCTAAGCTAAAGCTAAGCTAAAGCTAAGCTAAAGCTAAAGCTAAAGATAAAGATAAGCTAAAGCTGAGTTAAAGCTAAGCTAAAGTTCAGCTAAAGCTAAGCTGAAGCTAAGCGGAAGCTAAGCTAAAGCTAAGCTAACACTAAGCTAAAGCTAAGCTAAAGCTAAGCTGAAGCTAAGCTAAAGCTAAGCTGAAGCTAAGCTGAAGCTAAGCTAAAGCTAAGCTAAAGCTAAGCTAACACTAAGCTAAAGCTAAGCTAAAGCTAAGCTAAAGCTAAAGCTAAGCTAAAGCTAAAGCTAAAGCTAAGGCTAAAGCTCCCAGGGGACTGGGGGAACCGCGGGGCGGGGACTGGGGGAACCGCCCGGGGCGGTTAGCACTGCCCGGCCCTTTAAGCAAAGAGAGTAAGAACCCTTCTAGGCAGAGCTTAGGTAGGGAAAAAGCACACAGACACAATCAATCGTCGATCCCCAAGAAGCTATGGGAAACTATGGGAATTGGGCGGGAAGACAAAAACCCAGAAAATATGGGGAGCCTTTTTGTTTGTGTGTATTTATGTGTGTGTCCCAGGGCCCCTTCAGTTTGATGTTCCCCGGGCACAGCCGCGGCCCCCAGGCTCGCAAGAGGTGGGGAAGCCCGCCCAGAGTGATGACCTCACAGCGATCGTGTTTGATTCATTGTTTTCCCGATCGGCGCGGGCCCCCCAACCCCCTCCCCCCCATGGAGTAGGTCGTGGCTGTTTGTTGGCGCCCCCAGGCTCGGAAAAGGTGAGGAAGCACGCCCAGAGTGATGACCTCACAGTGATTGTGTTTGATTCATTGTTTTTTCCCGATCGGCGCGGGCCCCCCAAAGCCCCCCTCCCCCCCCCCCATGGAGTAGGTCGTGGCTGTTTGTTGGCGCCTGTTTCGCGTGGGTGGAGTCTCCCCCAGAGGCAGCAATCTTGCAGACAGTCGCAGTAAGCAAGGGGCCAGGGCCAGACCACCCCCCCTCACCCCCCCTTCCGCCCAATGTCGAAACGCAGAGCAAAATCAGTTCACACCTCGTCGGAGACCTGGGAATGCAATGCCACAGCAGCGGCTTGGTCGCTCGGCCTCCTCCCCCCCCCCCGATGAGCGACGCAAAAAGAACACGGTTCCATTGCGCCGGCATCGGCGCGCAAGCAGCCCGCGTAAGGTCTTGCGCAAGCGCCCTCGTCTCCAATGCGGCGTGCCGCGCTGGCGGCCCGCGTAAGCCGCGGCGTGAGGTCGCCATGCCATACTGTGTCAGATCCGTTCTTCTTGCCAGAGTCATGGCTTAGGCGAGGGGGAGCTGCCACCAGCCCGCGTGAAGGAGAGGGGGTGACCTGGAGCTTGACCGTCCGTGCTGAGGCGCTTCGCTGCTGTCTGCCCCCAGGGCCGGGAGCCCTGCTACCGGGATCCAGGTCCGTTAAATAGTCACCCGCCGATCGTTGCAAGTAATTCTGTGTTCTTCGATGCCCAAGTCCCAATCTACTTTAGGCGCCGTCCTACTTCAATCAGGAGTCGAGTGGTGTTCCCTCTTCCTTCCTCTTCAGGGGGCGGGCGGAAGCCCAATCTACTTTCACCGCCTTTCTACTTCTTGCTTCTACCCACTTCTTCTGA